ACAGCTGCACACCTCCTGTTGCCACAAACTGCAGAAGAAGCCCAAAACCGACTGCAGAGCAAACACCAGACTTTTTTTTATGTAAGCAGCTCACATAAGATGACCTGAAAGACACTGCACAACCTCAAACCCAATCAGTTCTGGAAGTGATTGATTTCAGAGAAACAATCACAGATCCTAAATAATGTACAAGACTTCTAACACACCACGGACAAAGCATCTCCTCTTTAATCCTTTCCCAGATCCAAAGAGTATCAGAAAGGTCATGGAAATGACCAGAGGAGCACAGAGCAGAGCCAAGACATCATCTGGGAGCCTCTCCACACAGTAACATCTCCTCAGCATTCCTGGAAATTCATGCCTCCTGAAGTTTCTCTAACTGCAACAGGGGAAAATATTTGGAAGAGGTCAAACAACTCAATACCATTGAGATCTGTAACTTTTCAGGCAGGAACAGGTTCCCATGTGCTTTCAGTTAGAGTACAGACAGGTTAGGGGAAAGGCAGCAAACCCAACAGCCTACTTCCCCTTCGCTCGTTTATAAGCAGTCAAGGCAGTTGAGAGCAACGTATGTGTTTGGTTTGAATTACAGACAGTTTCACTGCTGGAACACATCTGCAACGCACCGTGCTGAGTGAACTGCTGAACCCCAGCCAGCTCACAAACAACTCAACGTTGGCAGCAGCAGCAAACCCCACTGATGGCTCCTAGAAGCTGCTTTTAGGGACAACAAGGAGAAGGAGATGGATATTTCTCAGCACAGGCTCTTCCCAAGACACCCTCCAGTTCAACTCAGTTTATTATGGCTCCAGGAAGCAGAGGGGTTAATTTCTTTCCAAGTTCACATACTGTTTGAATTCCTTAGATAAGCTGCTTCCACCAAAGGATCTAGCCTCAGGGGAGAACACTGTAAGGAAAAGCTCTTTTGATAGATTTTCTTCAAAAGAGAAATTAATTCAAAGTCCATTTTTGGAGGTTGTTCCATGCCCACAGCTTCAGATGGGGTTGCACTGTGCCTCTGGAAGAAAAACTAAGCTTTGAGCAAAGCCCCACCACTTCCATGTGCAAGACACAAATGTTTCAGGCTTACACAATAAAAATCTTCTCTCCTGAAACGAGAAAGCTCTGTTTGCAGCACCACAAAGAGGAAAACCAGACCAAAGGAGGCTTTAACTCTGGGATAAAGCAGTTAACAGCTAGCACAAACTACTCCTGTCCCTTTAAAACTGAGCAGTCACTCAGAAAAGCAAAAAAACAAGTTTTGAAAGCCACTGAAGGCTTCCTTCACATCTTGAGGCAGAAAGCAAGCAAGTCTGGGCTGTTCTGGAATTTGTGTTTGCATACTGCTGGTGATAATCTATGTGCATAGCTGGAAACAAAACAAGGTTTTATTAGCAATTAGTAGCAGGAGGGGGGACAGACCTGCCTGAAGCAGGCAGAGGAATGCCAATACCTGATGGAAGAACAACACTGTACAACGTGCAGCAGAAGGAACCCAATGTGACAGATCGCATATAGGGGAAAACAGCGCATCTCTAGACTTGGGAGATGCAATGGCATCACTTCAAGCAGATAAACTGTGTCTTTAACACTGACAACTTTGACTCCAGGCAGCAGTTTTCCCTTGCACAGCAATTTGCAATGCAAAGCAAGCTACTTCTGCTCTTACCAAGAAGAGAAATTCAGAATCAAAGGAGGAAAGCAAAGTTGGGATGGGTTGATTTGCTTAGATACAGTTTTCTACATAGTTGAGTTTCAAGTCAGGCATGAGAGCAATAAAGCATAGGGTCTGAAACAGAGTGTGAGAACTTGGGCAAGGACAAGGGGGGAAAGATAGGATTTCATCCAAAATAAACCCCAGTCCCTTTCAGGGGAGCAACTCCTGCTCCCTCTCCATGTCTCTGAAAAATGCAGTCCAGCTCTGATCAGCCAACACCACCCAGGTTCAGAGCTCTCCAGCTATGTACTGTGAGAATGATGTGGCATGTGGGGCCCTATAACACATCTATTAAAATCCCATCAAGGGGTAGGCAAGTGGTAGCCATATGCTAAAGCACTCAAGTGAAGAATAACCAGGGAAAGGAGGACAGCCAGGAAGCAAGTGTGCAAGCAGTTTCTTACCTGGTGGATAAGCTAGCAAAGTCTCCTCCATCTAGCAGCCTGATTTTGCAGAACAGAACCCCATTGACGAAGGGGACGGCAGTCAGCTCTTCTAGAGTAAAGCTTGTCTGAAACTTGAATTTCTTCTTTTTCATCAGGAAAGCCATGGGCAAATTCAGCGTGGCAAGCCCAGGAATCCCAAACAAGATGAGGGAGGAGCGGCTCAAAACACACACAGACAAGCAGAGAAAGAGCACTCGTTCCGGGAACGCAAGCAGGGATTAAATTCCAGTTCAGTTACAACGACGGCCCAGCTTCAAACACACAATCCTCTTCTCTTTGGTGGTCGGATCTGGCTGTGGGATCATCGCCACGGCAGGCTTCAGGTGAGGAGGAGGAGGTCAGATTAAATCTCTGCAACATCTCCAAGGGAAAAGGGAGGGAGAGAAGTCAGTCTCAGCTCCAGACCAGCAGGAGCTGTCCCAGTTAGAGGCTGCAGCGCTCTGCCTTCAGCACAACCCCTCCAGAAAGCATCTCTTCTCAGAAATCACCTTGAGTTTCCAAAGAAGCGTTAAGTCTGTGGGCAGCACATTCAGAGAGCTTCCAGTTTCTATCTCCTCCTCTTGTGCAACTCCTTGGTACAGGTCTTCGGGTCAGCCTTTGGGAGGGAAATGAGTAAATTAGTCCCAGCCAGTCTTGGGCTCCTCCTCCTCCTCTAAAACCTGTTTGGATGGGTAATATTCACTCCAGACTCATACCATTCTTAAGAGGTATGGCCCCAATTAGCCTGGCCCCAACATCCTCTTCCCCCTTTTTGCCTAGAGCAAGCTTCACTGTTGTCATCCCCCTGTAATTTCTGGTTTGCAAAGCAGCTAATAAAAATCTGCTTTATTTTCAGCCATCACCTTTAGAAGCAGTTGACAGAGCAAGGTCAGTCTAACAAGATTAAGCAAAAGCCATCTCAAGAAACACAAAAATCTGTTTCTTTTCTGTATTTCCAACCAGCCCCGAGTGTCAGACCGGAATCTTATAACTGGAGAAAGCAGCAGAGAGGGGAGAGAAAGCAGCAGAGAAGGGAGAGAAAGCAGCAGTCTGCTCCAGATTACACAGCATAACAACCGAATCAGGTCATCTGGCTGTCCAATAGACAGGCCCACCGAGTCTGCTGCCTTCCCCCAGCACCAGGTCCACACCAAGCCATGCCCTCAAAGGGCAGTTTTGGGGCTGGAGATGGTCATTTCATCACACATTTGCACAATACCTAAGCCAGGGAGGCAAGACCTGAATAGCATCCAAAGGGATGAGGTTATGAACACCAGGCAGTAAACAATCCGTGCCAATATGAAGAATTAATGACTGCAAACCAAGGCAGGCAAAGCTCCTTATAGCCTGTAGGGGTGTGTGGTTAAAGCCCCCCTCCTGCTCGGGCAGACTGGTGACTGCTCTGCACCACCATGAGCTATACCTGCCCCCTCTGCCCCTGCACTGAGCTGCTGCTGGGTCTCAGCCTGCCCTCCAGCTGCCTGGACTGCACAGGGAGCTGGGGACAGGTCTCAGCCCACCTCTGGGCTCCGTGGATCATACACTGGGCTGCAGAGACGTCGCAGCCCGCGCCCTGGCACCCCTGGGCCATGTGCTGAGATGTGGTCAGGTCTCAGCTTGCTTTCTAAGCCATGCAGTGAACGGTGGCCAGCTCTCAGCCTGCCTCTGGGCTCCGTGGACCACACACCAGGCTGCAGCCAGGTCTCAGCCTCTATCCCAGCCCCAGGGGCCATGCACTGAGCCATGGCCAGCCCTCAGCCTAGCTATGAGGCTATGAGCCATGCACCGAGCTGCTGCCAGGTCTCAGCCCCATTCCCATCCTGTACACTGATCTGCAGCCAGGTCTCAGCCCCATTCCCAGCCCATGCACTGATCTGCAGCCAGGTCTCAGCCCCATTCCCAGACCATGCACTGATCTGCAGCCAGGTCTCAGCCCCATTCCCAGACCATGCACTGATCTGCAGCCAGGTCTCAGCCCTGCTCCCAACCCATGCACTGAGCTGCAGCCAGGTCTCAGCCCCATTCCCAGCCCATGCACTGAGCTGCAGCCAGGTCTCAGCCCTGCTCCCAACCCATGCACTGAGCTGCAGCCAGGTCTCAGCCCTGCTCCCAACCCATGCACTGAGCTGCAGCCAGGTCTCAGCCCTGCTCCCAACCCATGCACTGAGCTGCAGCCAGGTCTCAGCCCTGCTCCCAACCCATGCACTGAGCTGCTGCCAGGTCTCAGCCCTGCTCCCAACCCATACACCGAGCTGCAGTCAGGTCTCAGTTCCTCTCCCGGTCCCCAATCACAAGCTGCCCTATAGGAGCTCTTAGCCCACTTCCCGGCCCCTTCCACCGACCTGCGCTCCGGTTCCGGCCCGGTGCCTGCCCGACCCCGCTTCTGCCCTCTCCTCACGGCCGCCGCCGCTGCTCCCCGCCACAGCCGCCTCTGGTAGAGCTACGCCAACTGCGCCCGCTACGCCAACGCCGCAGGCAGCCCAAAGCAACACAACGCCACCAGGACACTTCGAGAATACCACTCCGACACTACGTAACCCCTCCCTCCATCCCCTGGGAGGGAGACGAGGACCACGAGAACGGCGCCGCCTGATTGGACCAGCGGCAAGGAGGCGGGACGAGAGGAACAAGGCTTTGATTCGCTTCTCCGGCACGGGGCGGGGAATAGAGCGCGGCGATTGGAGGCGGAGGCTGTCGGTTGGGGTAAGCCCCGCCTCCTAGCTGAGGCGGTGGGCGGGAAGCGGGGGGTAATGGGGCGGCAGCGGTCTCGCCTCAGTGGGCCGGTGGTGTCATGGCTGTTGTGGGGCTGTTGGTGGGGCTGCGGGTCCTTCGGCTTCCCACCGCCCCAGGGTGCCCCATAGCCCCAGCTGGCACTGCAGTGTGCGGGGCTGGCTGAGGGGAGGGCAGGCTTCGGCCGCTGCGCTGAGGTGATGGGAGAGGCGGCTCTGATAGACGTGGTCTGTGTCCGCCACCTCGTCCTCGTCCTCCCTCAGCGCCCTCGGGTACCACAGAGCGGGTGATGGGTTAGGCTGAGCAGGAGGGAGGCCTTGGCACCGCACAGGCAGCACGGGGCAGGGTATCACCCTGAGATGTGGCAGCCAAACGCATCTCCTCATCACCATGGCTCCCTGTTATTAGGTGCTGCTGCTGGGATCCCTGGTCAGGCAGGATTCCAGCGTTTAAGGGCCATCGGAACAAAATGTCTCTCCTCATCCTGGAGGAGTTCGCAATCATCAAGGTGATTTGCCTGGGTTTTAAGTTAGGGATGTGCCTGAGAGTCTCTGTGGCAGAGAAGTTGAGGCTCGTATGGGAGGGGCTTTTTCCAGGGATGGTTTGCTGGTGTCTGGCAAAGCTTGGATGGAAGCCTGGGAATCCACCTTCTCTTTGCCAGGCTTTGATGCTTGGGCTCGTTGCCTTTAATCTTTGGCATCTTTGCAGACAATATCAGAGCTATCAAAGAATTCTACCGCAACGTGAGCCACGAGACTGCTGGGAAAAGTACAGGGCTACATCACTTGTCTGAAAGTCAACAACTGCATGAAGCCAATTGCTTTGTAATGATTTGTATTTGTTATGAGGCCGGGTTAAGGAGATACATAGGCTTTGGGCTGGGAGCACATTTCATACTGGGTAAGGCATCACAGCCCTCCCATACAACAGGGTTTGTGGAGGCTGCTTATAAAGGTAGGGCCTGAATCATTAAATCCATTGATATCTGGAGACATAGTTAGAGATGAGCTGGGTTTTTACTGCTTTCTGTTTCTCACTTTATTGGGATAGAGCCCAGCCTGCTAGATATTTACTATCTGCCAAGCTGGGATGCTGAATGCTGGAAGCAGCTGAAGAATCCAGCCTGGTCCCTCACGCATCCCATTCCCTGAGCACACTCTGACACACGTGTCCATCTTTCCCTTCCATCACTAGCAAAAGGACAAACGAGCCCTGTGTTTGTGCTGTGGGAGGAGGCTGTGTGTTATCTGGGATGATTCACCCTGATAAATAACCTCCTCGGAGGCCTGCTCTTGTTTATAGCAACAGCCCCAAATGCTGAAGATGACAGCGATTTTCATGTGTGCTCTTCTCATGCATATTTACCCAGCAGTTTTATCAGAACCATCTCAAGCAAACCTCAGTGTTTTTATGATTAATTGACTAATGGTAAAAATAAAGGCGTTTGGAGAGGTGCCCAGTGAGCAGTGTGTAATATAGCAACCAGAGCCGGAGTCTCAGGGGTATGGATATTTTCCTAACAAACGCAGTCTCATGACTTAGCGATTAAATCTTTATGAGTCTGAAATTCACCCTGATGATTTTTTTTTTTCTCTGTTTATGCTGCAGGATTGTTTCTGGGAAAATCCACATTGGTTTAAAGGGACAGTGCTCCTTCCGCTCCCAGAGCGGGTGAGTTACTCTGAGCCCCACAGCACAGGGCATCCCCATCTATCTGCCATCCCACTGGCTTTATATTACTTTCCAATCCATCCACTAAGGAGCTGTGTGTGGATGTGAACAGGGCACTGACACACTGATTCTCCTTACCCCAGGCTCAAATGCTGTTGATTTCTCCTCTGCCTCAGCCCCACTGCACCCACCTCACCTCTGCTCCATGAACCTCAGCTCCATGCTCTCCCTGACCTAAGCCTTTCCTGATGCTGCTCTCCAGTTGCTGCCACCACTTCCTCAGTTTTTGCTGGCTCAGGGCATTGTTTTATCAGGCTGGGATAGTTTTATCAGTCTGGGCTCTGCAGTTCAGCCTGAGCCTCACCTCTGCTGTCATTGGAGAAGTGTGTCACACTGGTCAGGGGCTGGGATCTCTGCCCTGCTCACCTTGGGGCTGTGAGTGTGCAGGACCAGAGATGGTTTTCCTTGCCTCCTCTCTTTGAGGACTGAGATAAAGCAGCAGGGGTAGAAATAAGGCAAGATGAATTCGGAAGGGACAAAACACAGTGAGGTGAAGCGAGATGGATTCTGTAATGCACTTGGTGAGCCATCAAATCCTCTCTCATATCTCAGGGGAATCCCAGATCCCTGAACAAATCATCAAGCCCTGCAAACTACATCATCAGCATCTTCCTCTGGAAAACATCATCATGTTAATCCATTTGTCCTGGCAGCCAGATGATTGAGATTTGAAAACTAAATGACACACGTTTGCTGCAACAGCATAAACGCAATAATGGCTCTCCTCCATTACACTTGTAACCTGGTTATAATGGCTTTAATGAGCTTTCAGCCTCGTCAGCCAAAAAGAAAGATTATCACATGTTGCTTTATATTATAAAGTGTCCTTTGTGCTGCTGGTGGCTGAGTACCTGCAGTCACCCACTGCATGGGGTGCCCGTGGTTGGTGGGTGCCTATCCCAAAGCTGGGGGGCTCCCAAAACGGGGCAGGACATGGCAGTGGTGTGAGCCCCATAGGCTGCTGGACACCCTGTGAGGGGAACAGCTACCTGTCCCCATTACACAGGATTATCCTACGGTGTGGAGTTACTCCAACCATGTGTCTTCCCAGCTTAACTTAATAACAGGCTGTGAGCTCTACTTTGATGTGCTCCTGTTTTTCACTAGTACCATATTTAACTGGACTCATCATCATAAACTGGAACTGTTTCACTTTCAGTGCCAGGCTGGGCTTCCTGTCGGACTGGCAAAGGACACACCTGCACGGTGGGTTTCTGCCGGGATGGGGGATCCTGTTATCAACCGGGACAAAGGGAGCACAGGAATCTGGAGCTGGTGGATTCCTTTCCCCAAACATGTGGCCAGACCTGTAAATCCAGCTGCCTGGCTTTTTCTGTTTACTGGTTTCCATGTCTGCTCCAGTATGTTCTGGGAATGTGCTGCAGGACTCTCCACTTCTTCCTGGGAAGCCTGTGGGTGGAACTGCAGCTGGTTTGCCCCTTCCAAAACCTGCCTCAAGGCTTCTTGTGTTTATTAAACATCATCCCGTGTCTGTATCCTGGGTATTGCCTTTAGTGCTCTGCTGGCCATGGGCTCTCAACACTGGTTCTGTGCTTCTGGCTGTGCCCCGCAAGTGCCGCTGTTACCCCAAACACAGCAAGAAACAACTGTTAGTTGTGGTTCCACTTGACAAGGCAACCTCTAATTTGGGATCCCAGCAATAGAATAACAGAAACTGTCCCTGCTGGGGCTGGGCCTCTGCTGTGGGTTAATCACCTCGGAGGGCCGGGACCCAAGGGCTCGTGAAAACTCAAAAGAGGGGAGACTGAGATGAGCTCTTAGGCAGAAGCTCTTCCCTGTGAGGGTGCTGAGGCGCTGGCACAGGGTGCCCAGAGAAGCTGTGGCTGCCCCATCCCTGGCAGTGTTCAAGGCCAGGTTGGACACAGGGGCTTGGAGCAAGCTGCTCTAGTGGAAGGTGTCTCTGCCTGTGGCAGGGGTTGGAGCTGGAGGAGCTTTAAGGTCCCTTCCAACATAAACCACTCGATGACTCTAATATTAAACGCTTCAGTTTTCATATTTAACAGACCACATGTGCTGACAGTACCTGCTGGCAATAACCTCTTAGATGGCAATAGGAAAAAGAAAAACCCCAGAAGAATGCTTTGCCAAAACAGGCTTGACAAACTTTAAAGACACAGTGGAGGAGGTGGAGGTAATTTGGGTGAGCATTAGGTGATTTCATCCTGTCCCTCGGCAGGGATCTGCTCCAGGACTGTGATGTAGCTATGGCAGCATGCTGCATTTGTGGGATGCTCAGCTGTTTATGTGTGGTTTTCTTAAGAAATAAAGTTAAAACTGTCCCTTTGCTTATAATTAAAGTTTTTTAATTTAAATTTAATTAAAATTGTTTTTTTTTTTTCCTGTGCCTGCCCATACACTTCTGTAATGAACTCATCCCAAAGAGATACATGAGATCCCCACATCTCAGTGTCCTCTGCCTGTGTTTTCAGAAGCAGAGGGACCCAGTTTGTGTTCCTGGGCATAGAACCACAGACTGGTTTGGGCTGGAAGGGGGTTTAAAGCTCATCCAGTTCCAACCCCTTGCCACGGCAGGGGCACCTTCGACTAGAGCAGGTTTCTATGGGTACCCATGTTCCCCATCACTGGGCTCTGCCTGTTGAACTTCTCCCTCTCCATGCTCTCAGTCCTGAAGAGATTCATCAGTGAATCACAGCAGGATCACAACAGGTCTGGAGGACCAGGATCATTTCATCCTGCCAGGGCTCTGCAGGGCTTTGCTGCGGCTCAGGATCCCCTGAGGCCCCCTTGCCCCGTTGCACAGTGCCATCTCCTGGAGAGCCGTGCCTGAGCTGCACACAGATCTGATGCTGAAGCAGCAAGTGGTGCTGACAGCTAGAGGTGCTGCCTCTGCCACAGGGGTTACCTCCGACCCACCGAGAGTCTCTTCCTCACCGAACCTCTCTTCCTCCAGCAGGTGCAAAGGAAGCTGTTCATTGCCTGGCTGCTTGCTCTCACCTCCGGGGTACCCTGTGACAGAGCATCCCTGCTCTGGATGCCAAACACAATCCTCTAGGCACAAGAAGAACAGTAAGAGAGCACAAATGAACATCTTTAGATATTACTCCTTAGCTTTTGTTCAGCTTAGGCACCAGTTTCCAGTTGTACACGCTGTGTATACGTTCACCCTGTACCCGTTCCTCCTGGTTGTAACTTTAAGGGACACTTTTCTCCCTCCCCAGATTTGATGACCTGGTCATGAGCAACAACCAAGCCCCTCATCATAGTGCTCACCCTGTATTTAAAACATTGCTACATCTCTTTTAATGACACAAAAACGTGTATGGGGAACTTGGGCTGAATGTTGCTGCCTTGAGTAAGCTCTATTTTTAACCTGAAAAGACAAGGAAAATGGGTGGTTCCAAGAGCAACACGTTTTAGTCCCATGAAACACAGCTTAAGTGCTTAGTCACTGAAAAAATGCACTCTGCAATTGAAAGCCAAAGGCTGCTGCTTCATGCATCATTTTAGGCTGTTGTGGCACCTTCTGAGCAGTTGGTTCAGTAAGCTGTGCTACACAAGAGAATAACCAGTGCTCCAAGCTGCTGTTTGTAAAGACCATAATTAGCTAAATACAAGGCCATAAAGTTCACAGAGGAGAGAAAAAACTACCCTGACCTGTGGCTGTTCACAGCTTTGGCCTTTTCTCTGTGTTGCAAACCTCACAAACTCCTTTTTGCCACTGAACTGAAGCAGCCTGTTTACCAAAAATGTATTTCTTTTAATTAAAATTTGTATCTGGAAAGGAGAAATGACACAAATGAGGTAAATCAACATGGGGAACAGGAGGTTTCACTCAAAAAATAAAGTTCAATTGAGCAATTGATTTGATTCCACAAAGTCTGAGAGGAAGCCTCTGGTGAGTGTTACTCGTGGGGCTGACTCAGTGAGATGTCAGTGCCAAAGGGTCGGGAGTCTTCAGGGCCTAAACTCTTCTCACTGCACTGTCCTGTCCTGCCCCACCAGATTGCAGAGGAGAGGCAATGAGGAAAGGCCAGGGACAGGCAGTGGCTCTAACCAGGGGTTCCCATCAGCATCCCCTCAGAAAAGGCTGTGTAAAGGTTTCATTTGATTGTGCAAATTCACTCCCTCCTTGGTCTTTGCTCATCTCCCAGCCCTAAAGGAGACTTAACAGCAAGCAAATAACAGCTCTGAAGAAGCTCTGTTTCAAAGTTAATATCTGGCAAGGAACAAGCTCATTAAATGTGACACACTTTGCAAGGGAGAAGGAGTTTTGCTTCTTTCTTTCTCTTTTCCTTTGACATTTGCTTCCATGCATGTACAAATGGAGCTTTTCATCTTAGAAGTTTATGAAGTTGCTGCAAGTTTGTGAGAATCACATTGACCGTCCTATGAAATGAAGCTTTCTCACTGAGGACCTCTCAAAGTGGCTGCTAGGATGTTTTACCCTGTATCACAGTAAGGAAATCGTGAGGCGAGCTCCATGCCACTGAAGCAACTAACAAAGAGCTGTATTGGCTTCCAGCTCCCCACAGGTACAGAACCACCTTCACCACCACCCACAGCAGAACCAAGTCACACTCCAAAATTCACCCAGTTCAGTCAGTGCCTGACAAACTCCTAAAGGCTGGGAATTCCTGCCAGGCTGAGGCTCTGTGGCCCAGGTCCACTTTGATGGATCAAGGCATTATGGAGTGACAAGAGATGGAGCTTTACCTGTTACACCCACCTGAGAGAAACTCATCCAGGCTCTTGTGCATTAAGCTGAGACAGGTAAGACATTGCTCCAACACATATCCCAGGGCAGCATGTGGTAACCGAGACACTTTCATCTCACCTGCCAAGTTAGTAGTGAAATTCCATGACCACACGCAGACAGAACATGAGGTGAATGCGCTATTTGAATCCCATTTGTATCCTTAGGGGATGAAGGTGGGATTTAAACCGTATGTCAGCTTGGCACTGGTCTGCACGGGCTGGATGTCACACTGCAAGAGCAGTATCCATAACTCACAGTGCAGAGAGAAGGCTGAACCACATCTGGTACCACGTTTCCAGTGCGTGCTTTCAGCAAGAGACAGAAACTCATTCACTACCATGCACTGCTGGTGATAACTGTACCCTGGTAGCTGCAGCGCCTTGATACCATAAGGCTCTCCATGTTAGAAGTCAGTTAAAGGCAGTAGATCTTGAGTGAGAGGGAAGGACAGAGGTGCCACACTGAGGAGAGGGATTTTCAAACAGAAATTTAAAAAATAACTGCTTTTTTAACTAATAACTCCATTGTTTGAGGAACTAAAGCAACCACTGGTAAGTTCCTGGTTTATTACACATCCTGCTATGGCTCTCTGAGGAGTCTGAAAAGGCAGATTAGCATAAGATTAGCAGAGAAAGAAAGCTGTTTAGGCTCAGACTCCAAGGCAAGCCATGTCACACTGACACCCCCTGGGTCCTCCAGCAGCACCAGCAGGTTTTTTCCCCTAGACAGATGTCCCATAGAATAGTTCAGGTTGGGAAAGCCCCGTTACAATCATTGAGTCCAGTGCTGCCAAGTCCACCACAAAACCACATCCCTAAACGCCACATGAACACGTCTTGGTGTCTCCACCACTTCCCTGGGCGGCCTCTTCCAGTGCAGGACAAGCCTTTCCGTGAAGAGATTTTTCTCCCCAGTAGCCCATCTAAATCTCCCCTCCCATCCCTGTTTCCTTCACTGGATCATGCCATCCTGCTGCCCCGTCTGGCTGGGGTCAGTGGTGACCGACGGGCTGGGTGTATTGCTCTGCAGAAACCGACGGAAGTCCTTAATCATGGGGCGGAGGACCTGGATGAGGGCGCTCAGCGCTGCCTGCGTTCCTTCCATGGCTTGTGCCTGCCGCTCCTGGGCGCACGCCTGCACCTCCTGAGAGCGGCGGATCATCTGAAGCAAGTCATTCTGCTGCTCCAAGTGCTGGGCAATCTCCTTCACGTGCAAGTTGGTCACACGCTGCTCCTGCAAGAGCTTGGCCGAGTTCAGAGCGATTCGGCTCTTCAGCTCCTGGGGTTTCGCAGCCACTTCGTGCTGATGCGCCATCATCTCCAGAGGTGCCTCTGCGGTGACTGTGGCGGGGGCTTCTGTTGTGCAGTACTCCACGACCCCGTCCTCCAGGCTGTGGTAGGTTGTCTCTGCAGGAACTGAGAACAAAGGACACAAAGGGGGTGAGACAGAGTTTTATCTATGGGGCTATTCAATGGCTATCACAGGAATAGGGCCTGCTCCCTGAGATAACATACAACGACCAATGCACAAAATGACCTATTGAAGATTGAAGTCTACTCCACCCTCATGCACCCTTCCTCCTAGACTGTACAGTTCGAAGGAACAGGCCATGCCTTATCTGTCCAGACAAAACCATTTCTCGGCTTCCAGTTCAAACAGTCTTTCCCAGCAGCATTAACCAATGACGTCAGGGCAAAGACAAGACCCTGAGTGGCACTTGTGAGCATGGGGCAGAGTGGGAAACCAGCCCTGGAGATGCTTTTCCTCCTGTTTCTGTCCCCGGAAAGGGGGACCGAACATCTCCGAGGCGCAAAGGATATTTAGAGTCATAGAATGGTTTGAATGACCATGAATGGTTAAGATCATCCAGTTCCAACCCCCCGCCATGGGCAGGGACACCTCACACTAGACCATGTCACCCAAGGCTCTGTCCAAGCTGGCCTTGAACACTGCCAGGGATGGAGCATTCACAGCTTCCTTGGGCAACCCATTCCAGTGCCTCACCACCCTTACAGTAAAGAACTTCTTCCTTATATCTAACCTGAACTTTGAACTTCCCCTGTTTCAGTTTAAACCCATCACCCCACGTCCTATCGCTACAGTCCCTGATGAAGAGTCTCTCCAGCATCCTTGTAGCCCCCTTCACATACTGGAAGGCTGCTCTATTTGCTTCCCTTGTCCTTAAGGCTGAGCTCAGCCACTATATGTGTACCCTGCAGCCATTCCCTACAGCACAAGGACATACTGGGAATGCCATTTTCCAAACACAGACAGGGGAGGGTTCTTTTTGCTGGGGCTTTCCCCATACAGCGCTCAGGCAGGTACCAAGGTCCCCTATTACTGAGACCAGCGCCTCTCCAGCAGGCGCAGCACTCACTCTGGGTCAGGGTGACCGTGGTGGCTGCCGCGGTGATGGGTATCTCGCTCCCGTCACCCGCGCTGCAGTCCCCACTCGGCAAACTGATGATGGTGGCTTCTCCCAGCAGGTTACAGATGCGCTGCTGCATGGGGGTCAGGATAACAGGGGCGGCCGCGGCGCCCGTCGGGTCCTCGCTCTCCGTCCCGTTGCCGCCGCCGCCGTTGTGGCCGTCGCTTCCCCCTTCCATGGCAGCCCGCACCTGGGCCACTTTCCGCCGCACCTCGGTCTTGAGGTCCGACCACTTCTTCTTGACCTCGGGCAGCTCGCGGTGGCACGTGGCGACGGCGTTGACGCGGCGCAGGATGTCGTGCCAGGCCGCGGCCTTGGCGGCCAAGGGCACGCCGGCGTTGAAGTGGTTGATGAGGAGGTGCTTGCCCCGCTCCAGCTCCTCCACGATGATCTCCACCTCCCGCTCCGAGAAGTTCATCTTCCGCTTCTTGGCTGGGGGAGCCGGGGGGGACGCCATGGCCATGGGGGGGGGCACTCAATAGGGGGCTATGGGGGGGCTCCTGCGGGCCAGGGGGGGGTCTAGGGGAGGCTGGGCAGGGCCCCCCCCCCCCCGGGCCTCCTCACCCCCAGGGTCCCTCAGGGCCCCGAGGTGTCCGCCCCCCCCCACCCCGCTCCCCCCCCCTTAGTACCGCTAACGATACGCAAATTGCGTACCGCAGCCACCCAGCGAGCCCCGCTCAACGGCCTCCACCCTGCGACACTGGCCGGGAGGCGGAAGCGCCGCCATTTGCCGGTGCGGGGCGATGCCGGGCCCGCGGCGCTCGCTGGCCTCGCCGGTGGTGAGCGGCGTGCTCTGCCCCTGCGGCTCCCCGAGGGGCACGGACGGCGGCGGCAGCCCCGGCAGCCCCGGGCCCTGCGGTCGGGCCCTGTGCGAGGCCTCCGAGCAGGACCGGCGGCTCCGCGCCCTCTTCCAGAAGCTGGACGTGAACCGCGACGGCGCGCTCTGCATCCACGACCTGGCCGTGGGGCTGGGCCGCCTCGGGCTGCACCGCACCGAGCTGGACCTGCTGGTGAGCGCCGGTCCGGGAGGGAGGGAGGACGGACGGAGGCGCTTACGGTGGGCGCCGGCGGGGAGCGGGCGCCTCAAGCTCCCTCCGTGCTGTCGAAGGGGTTGCGGTGGAGCCGGCGCTGCTTTGCCCCGCATAGAGCGTTAAAGCATTGGTGGGTGCTTGCGTTAAAGCAGCGCTGCTGCTGCGAGCACTGAACCCGGAGGGCTCGGCTTGCTCCCTACCCGTGTTAATGCAGGCGTTTGATCGGGAGCTTCCTGCTCGGGCAGGGTGAAGCAGAAGGAGCCCCCTCTTCCTCCGGGTCCGGGGGTGAGGGAGCTGTATGGTTACTTGTGTTTGCAGGGGGGTTTTGGAAGGGAGAGGTTGTGGTGCAGATTTCGTTGCGTCACTGCGTTTCCTCACGTTAGGCTGTTTGGCACCATGTTGCTGCTCCAGTTTCTTGCCCAAGGTGGGTTATACGAGCCCAAATGGACTGTTTAAAGGGGTTTGAAACGCCTTAAAATGTCCGAAGTGTGGAATTTGGCCCCTTTGCACATGGGGTATATAAAACATGCCGTGTGCTGACTTCCTACCTCTGTGCCCTTTAGTCACACAGCTCTGTGTGTGATGCTGCTCTAGGCTTCAAGGTTCAACGTGATGCTGCTCGGTTTAACTGTAACTGGTGCAGTTTACGTCTGTGTGAGCATGGTGGTTGTATGCAGGACCATAAAAAGGCTGAGTGTCTTGGGAGGGTAAAGCACTAATACAGGCTGGGGAGAGAATGGATTGAGAGGAGCTGTGGAGCCAGGCTGAGAGAGCTGGGCTGGGTCAGCCTGGAGAAGAGAAGGCTCCTGAAGGGGAGACCTTAGAGCAGCTCCAATGCCTAAAGGGGCTGCAGGAAAGCTGGAGAGGGGCTTGGGACAAGGGATGTAGGGACAGGCCAAGGGGAATGGCTTTAACCTGCCAGAGGGGAGACTGAGATGAGCTCTTAGGCAGAAGCTCTTCCCTGTGAGGGTGCTGAGGCGCTGGCACAGGGTGCCCAGAGAAGCTGTGGCTGCCCCATCCCTGGCAGTGTTGAAGGCCAGGTTGGACACAGGGGCTTGGAGCAAGCTGCTCTAGTGGAAGGTGTCCCTTCCTGTGGCAGGGGTTGGAGCCGGATGAGCTCTAAGGTCCCTCCCAACCCACTCTACAGTCTGTGATAGTGGCTGCACACAGGGGTGCAGTCAGGGATGTGCCATCTCTCAATCCTACAGGAGAGAAGAAGAGTTAAAGGATAACTTCTGAGTCACTGAAAACCCACCTCATTCTCAAGCGACGGTCCTTATTCTCTCCCTGTTCTGGGAGTGGTGTCCCAATTTATATGACTGCTTTAATTGCATGTATCCATGCTTCCCAGAGGTGCTGGTTCCTTTCTGGCTCCTACTCTGCAACATCTTCACTTCGAACGCTTCTTTTTGTTTGGCAGCTTCCTTGCTGCTGTAAAGTATGAGACTTTGGCAGCGTGAGCATCTTGACAGTGGTTTAATTGTGCTGCTTCTAAACATATCCTCAGTGCCATGGTGATTTTCTGCTGTGAACCTGATTATACCATATAAATCACCTGCGCATTGTGCATGCCCTGGGCACCACTGACCTGCTTCCACCCATGGGTGCCGGATCCTTTACCCCTGGCAAAGCCTCTCACCAGTAAGTTCTGCCTGCATGCCTGTGTTGGTTGACATCCCTTTTCTCCCCCAGCACGTTATTCAATCCAACCTCCCATGCTCCAGGAGGATGCACCATAAACCAAACCATGTTTTTACTTCCCAGCACATAGCTTCTGTCGTTGGCGCGCTGTGGGACCAGCAGAGAGGAGCTCTTCTCCAGGGACTGGAGCTGTCTGGATGCTGCTTAACAGCCCCATCTTTCAGTTGAAGCCCTTCTCTGTCAGTATTGTTCCTCTTGTTTCCTCTGCCTGGGCCCTTCCGCCATGCAGGAAGTGGCTGGTTGGATGAATAGGGTTTGCAAAGCATTGTTAATGTGGCACAGAACCCCTTCAGCAGTGTAAAACGTGTGTGTTAAGGAGGAGGATGCAGAGTTCAGGACTCTTCAGTTTGCAGTTCAACGTGTGGGAGCAGTGCTTGTGTTGCTGCACAGAAAACAGCCTCATTGTGTGGTTTTTAGGCAAATCAAACAAACTTCCTGCTTCCCAGGCAGTTCTATTAATAAACTGGCTGTTTTTTCTGCCCCATCCCTAGCTAAAAATGGCACCTTGAAGCATGGGGTAACTCGTGTCAAGTCACACTTGAGCGAGGTGCTTAAGCATCAAGATTAGAACCTTTTTTTGATGTATGGGACACGGTGTTTGGAGACCAATTCAGGCATAAATTGGGACATGGTGTTTGGAGACCAATTCAGGCATAAATCACACAGATTGCTTGCGATTAGGAAATTACTTGGTGCCTGTGGTGCGTTTAATTTTCCCTTCCATGCAGCAGCATGTTGGAGCTGGGAGTTGCCTTCTGATGTTTTGGAGACAGATGGAGAAAATATTAGGCTGGAAACGGGAGGTTATCGCTGATCTGAGCTGCAGGCTGCTGATCTCTCTGCGTCACTGGCCTAAAAGGCCTTGTGGTAACAATAATAGTGTTGGGCTCCGACTTGGAAAGAGAATGAGCAACGTTTTGGCTCCTTCAATGCTTGAGAGTTGTTATTGAGATAAACCCCTTTGTTTTGCCTTGGAAAATTGTTGCTTTTCTGTTTTAGCTGTGGCCTTGTGTGGTGGGGGAGAGAAGGGGGGACTTGGATGGCCTTTGAGGTGGAATCTGCTTATGTAAACCCAGGCTGTTATCTTTAAACCATTTGACAAATCCAGAGTGCCAAAGCGTGAGCCTGCTCAAGCAGTGTGTGTTTGCAGGGGTGGTGTGAAGCAATCGACATACTTCAGTCTGCTTGGGCAGTAAAGTGAGAACTATGTGAAGAATCCTTTCAAAGGCTTTCTTGTTCCCCTGTGTAAAGGGATAGTCCTTTACTGCTAAATTACACCTACCTCTGCAATAGTCCATCTCCTGTTACTGCTACCTTATGACCTCCCTCATGACAGTATTTATATAGACTTAGGGAAGTGGAAATAAACACTTAATGGAAGTACTAGTGGTTGAACAGGAACTAGGTTCCCTACTTTGTGTCTGGAGATGATGTGTTGTTGAAAGGATGGGCAATGGCAGTAGTTGTGTACTTGCTAATACAACTTTTCCTGCTGTTCCTGTTTAACTACAGGGCTGGAGTGGTATTGGAAAACCTCATCTCTACTGCTCAAGTTCCAGACAGTTTGAGCTGGTGGGATTAATCCCAGCTAGACACAGACTGAACTTTGTCTTCAGTTTCCTCCTCTGTGGCAGTGCTGAGCATCTTCTGCTGGACTAACACTCAGCTTTAAGAGCAGAGCAAACATAACCCTTGTCTCTTTTCAGTTACAAGTGCTGTGACCACAATGTCCTCCTTGGCCTTGTGATATTTTCTTTTCCCAGGTTCATATTGCTCCCTTGGTATCAGCTTCTCTGTGTGAAACTGCCATCAGCTCCCATTCTGCTGACATGTTCCCATCTGCTTTCATGACTTCTGTCTTAGCCTGGTGTTTCCTCTTTGATCTCCAAGTTCTGGCTATCCAAACTCCCACACAAGGTCTGTTGTTCACTTCTCAGGGTACTGAAGAAGCACAACTGTGCTGCTGCAGCTGGGCTCTGCTGTGTTCTGGGTGCTCAGGCCTCTTCTCTGAGCATCTTTGCTTTTGAAGTACATCTCTGGATGATTCCAGCTGTCAGGAATGTTGTATCTGTGCTGTTCTGGGGCAGCTGGTCAGTTATCTGAGCAGTCTCTTTCTCATGTGACTCCATGGATGGAACTCTTATAGCAGTTGCAATCATATTTAATCTTACTTGTGATCAGTACTTTATCTCCTGTTGTCATTTAATCCTTCCTTTCAAACTCTTTATTTGTGTAACTGTTTTACTCTCCAAGACTTTTGTATACTCTGTACTCTATTGGGCACAATGTACTGAAATTATCAGCAATTATAAGGGGCAGAGGAAGGAGAGAACCTTTTCTGTGTGATGCTCTCGCCTGGTTTTCATTCACATTTGCCTGGAAAAGGAGGGCCTGAGGTTTCGCTGTGTTGCAGAAGCCTGTTTATGGTAAAAAGAGCAAAATTCCAATAGTGTTCTGTAATCCAGACTGGAATATCCCTGCAAACCTATACCCATCTAGAGACATCTTCATGGTTTCTGTGTCCTTAATCGTGCTGGGGCAGTTGTGAAGGTTTTAGCCAGGCCTTTGTAATTCATCACAAAGGGTTGAGCAACACAAGGTTGTAGCAAACAAATGAAGCAGTGTTAGAGTTTGAAATTCCAGTTGATTCCCTTCTTTCTGCTGCCAGGTATTTATCATCAACTCCTCAACCACCCATTTCATGACTAATCCTAAAGGACAAATGTGGGGCTCCCTGAGCCAGTTTAACACAAGGTGAAACTGCTTTCAGCAACGTGTTAAATAACTCCATGCATTTATGTATAATGCTTATTAAAAGAGCAAGCAGAAAGGCTCATATTTGCTGGCTCTGTAGTGAGTGGACGCTTGTTCTTGCTCTTTGTAAAGGACTCTTCCCTGTGAGGGTGCTGAGGGCTGGCTGTGGCTGCCCCATCCCTGGCAGTGTTCAAGGCCAGGTTGGACACA